AGCATATTGATAATAGCTGTTTTAATCAACTTTCTAATTTTTAACTTCCATCTTTGCTCTTCTCATCATGTGTCCTATTTCTGGGTCTGTTCTTATTGATTGATTTCTCTTTATAATGGGTCATATTTTCCTGCCTCATTGCATGCTTGGTGGTTTATGATTGAATGCCGTAAATTTTACATTGTGAATTTTACATATCGGATGCTGGATTTTGTTGTATTCCTTCAAATAGTGTTCTTTGTTCTGGGATGTAGTTAAGTGTCTTGGAATATACTTGATACCTTTGGGGCATACTTTTAAACTTTCCTTAAGACATATCTTCCTGGAGTGGTGAATCATCCCAGTGTGCCTGCGTCTAAGGAGGTGCCTGGGGTATGAGACTTTCATTAAAAAACTAGGGCTGAGTTTCTGAGAAGTAGAACTTTCCATTTTAAAACTGGGAAAGCTCCTAGCAAACTAGGACAAATTAAACACCCTAGATCTAGAGCAGGCTGTAGTCCACTAACTTAGTCCCACTATAAATTTTGAGGACCCTACTCATATGACAAGGTCTTGACACTCTCGCTGGGAGAACATGAGTTATTCCCAGCATGTGTGAGTTCTGGAGAGTGTTGAGTTTACTGTTTTTTGGTGGTTCTTTTCTTTCATGCATGCTCAGATCAGCACTCAAAAGACTTGCAGACCTCCCTGGAGGTCTTTTTATGTGCATTTCCATTTCTTCCTATATTCTGTCCTGCAAGTTCTAGTGGCCTTGGCCTTCCTGAACTCTAGTCTCTGACTCCTCAGCTCAGTGAGACCTCCGAGTGTGTCAGCATCTCCCACGCTGCTCTACTGCCTGGAAACTGCCTCCAGGCAGTTGGCCCGAGTAATCATAGGGATAATTTCATCTGTTTCCTTTTTGCAGGGATCATAGTCCTGCCACACCTGTTGTCCACTGTCTGAAAACTATTAATATGTTTTGTCTGGTTTTCTAGTTAAGATGAGAGTGTAAGTGTAGTCCCTGTTAATTCATTGTAGCCATAAGCAGAAGTCCTTACTCTTTATATTTTATACCTCAATATTTTTTTTAAAAAATTTATGTTATACATATTTGAAGGAGTTGCTCTTTTTTTCTGGTTACACCAGTTTTTGTACCTTCAGTTGACTCTTAAAAAGATAAGGAAATATTTGAAAATAATAATGGCAGCTGTTTAGAGAGGTCTTTCTGTGTCTCAGCCCTGTGACAGGTGTTTCATATACATTATATTGAATCTTTACAAAAACTTTTAAAGCTAGATTATTGATATTATTATCTCCATTTTAAAGATGTCAAAACTGAGACTAAAGCAATTAGTAACTTGATCAGACTCCTCAGGTAGTATATTGCCCAGCTTACAGTCAAATGCAGGCTTTCTGAATATTCATTTATCCACACCACAATGCTTAATGTGCAGTATTAACACATAAGGAAACAGCTGGGGCTGAATGTTTTTGAAGTCAAAGGTTAAGTTATGCAGAAAATTTAAGTGACTCTGATGATATTGTTTTACAATATAAGTGAATGGCTGATGTTTTACTTTGTGTATGGAGGGGAGAGAACATGTGTATATATATATATGTGTGTGTGTGTGTGTGTGTGTGTGTGTGTGTATATATATGCATTTATGTATGTGTTAGGTGCAGTGAATCAAGGAGCCTTATCTAACCACAGTGACCTTCTTTGAACCCCGACACCTTTGCATGCAATCCTGAAGTTGCATTTAATTTCCAAAATTATTATATTTGTTTCCCAGGGCTGTCATAACAAGCTACCACAAACTTGGTGGCTTAAATCAACACAAGTGTATTCTCTCACCGTTCTGGAGGCTAGAAGCCTGAAATCAAGGTGCCGCAGGTGTGCACCCCCTCTGAGGGCTCTAGCGGAGGGTCCTTCCTGCCTCTTCCAGCTTCTAGTGAGTCCTGGAGTTCCTTGGCTCGTGGCAGTAACTCCAGTCCTGCCTCTGTCTCCACACGGCCCTGGCCTTCTTCCCTGGCTCTCTCTCCCCTCGTCTCTTCTTTTAATAAGGACTTGTCATTGGATTTAGGGGCCACCTTAATCCAGGATGATCTCCTCTTGAGATCCATAATTAACTTTGCAAAGACACCGTTTCCAACGAAGGTCACATTTGCAGGTATGGCCGGTGAGGGTGTGGACACATTTGGGGGAGTGGACAGTTCGACCCACTGCAGTCTGTGCGAGCTCCGGGCCTCTTCAAACCCGGCTGCTCTTTAGGAGCCTGTCAGGAGGGCTGCCATGCCCTTGAAGGAGAGGTGGCTCGGATCCTGTGTCCGTGCCCAGGGTTATTGAGGTTCTTGGAAAGCTAAATGCAGATGAGTGTCCTTCCTTTGCTACCCAACTCTCTCTGCTCGATCCAGGAGAGGTTTGCTACCCTACAACCCAGGCGTTTCCTTCCTGCAATTTACTCAAAAACCACGGCTGGGAACTAACTCTGGACACCTGATCTGAACAAGAGGCACTTCTAAACTTGCGTGTCAAGCCTGAGTGTGTTTTCTATCCAAGGATCTTTCTTTGCACATGGGCAGTAAGACAGCCCTGGAGTCTCTGCCAGAAGTTCTTTGAGTCAAAAGTTCTATCGTCCAAGATTCTGATTCACTCCCTGTCTCCATACTTGGTGCCCAGCTATCCCGTGTGGCAACTTTCTGCTAACCTCTTTCTCCCCGCAAACACAAGCGCCAACTTTTCTTGCGAACGCTTCTTTGTAATCTTGCCAATGAAGTATCTTAAACATGACGGGACTGCATTTCTAAGGCATTAGACTTAATAACTAGGTCATTACCACTGTTTACCAACCTGGACTCATTAGCAGGCCTCTTTGCTTTTCACCTTAGAGCAGCTTAATGAGGTTATTAATTAGAGCGAGAGACGTAAGCGCACTGGGTCTGCTTTAGGGCCATCTGGGGAGATGGCTCTGTCTTTGGTCATGATTTCTGTTAAAGGTTTCCAAGGGGATACAGTTAAGTCACCATGAAATGATATTTCCTTTCAATGTACACTTGTTTTTCCTCTTTAAATGGGTTACTTTAGGTCTGTAAAATTCCCAGTTGTAATCCACCTAATGCCTTGTTCAACTCAACAGCAGAGGCAGTGAGGGGCAGCAATTAAAAACACAGGCTGGAGCCAGACTGCCTGGGTCTAAATCCTGGCTCTGCTCCTTACTGCGTGACATTGTGCAAGTTATTTCATCTCTGTCTCATTTTTTTTTTTTAAATCTGGGCAAGTGTGAAGATTAAATGAATACGTCCATGTAAAATGCTTTGGACAGTGTCTGGCACACAGTGAGTGTTTTATATGTGTGAGCAGTTATTTTTATTCACTAAATCCAAAGAAGGAGCTTTTGAAATCTACTGTGTAAAAGGCACGGTTTAGTGCTCTGCATTTTCTAGAAGGGGTTATGGGTTGAATTGTGCCTTTCCGAAATTCACGTGTTGAAGTTTTCTATCCCCCAATTCCTCAGAATGTGACCTTATTTGGAGAGAGGATTTTTTTCAGCAGTAATCAAATTAAAATGAAGTCATGTGGCAGGTTCTAATCCAGTGTGATGGCCGCCCTTGTAAAAAGGGGAACTTGGGTACACAGACACGTGCAGAGGAAAGACAATCTGAGGAAACGTGGGGAGACGGTGGCCATCTGTGAGCCAAGGAGGGAGGCCTGGGAAAGATCCTCACAGCCCTCAGAGAGAACCTACCCTGCCAACACCTTGGTTTTGGACTTCTAGCCTCCAGAACTGATAAATTTCTGGTGTTTAAGCCGCTTAGTGGTGGTGCTTTGTTATGGCAACTGTAGGAAACTAATACAGGTGGTCCTAACGCAAATCTCTGTCCCCAGAGGGAGCATATGATCTGCTAGGAGGGCTCTGGTTGCAAGCAACAGGAATTCACTAAATCTTGCTTAAACAAATAATAAAAGAAAGATGAATTTATAATGATAGAGGCATCTCGTCAAGTCCAAGGACAGGATTATAGCTGGCACAGGACATCAAGAGGACTCCCCATGTCACTCTGGCCCGGTGGCTTAGTTGGTTGGAGTGTCGTCTCATGCACCAAAAGGTTTTGGGTTTGATTCCCAGTCAGTGCACATACCGAGGCTGCAGGTTCGATCCCTGGTCAGGGTGTGTACGGGAGGCAACCGATGAATGTTTCTCTCACACGCATCTCCCTCTCTCTCTTTCTCTCTCTCTCTTTCTTCTTTCTTTCTTTCCCTCTCTCTGCCTTTCACTCTCTCCCCCTCCACCCTGTTTTTTGGTGCTTCCCCAATCCAGATGGCAGAAAACGTGGCCCCCAATTGCTCTCAGGTGTGTGTGTTAAGGATATAGCCCCTTAGAAAGAAACACGTGAATTGCTCAGCAGATTCTAATTCTGATGGAAGGGCATCTCATCCGCACCCTGGGTCAGTTGCCAGTGCCAGCGGCTGTGACCAGGGGAACAGTATTTGGGTGCACAGACAAGGTGCTCCTACTGTAACCAAGTAGATGGAGTGAGGGGAGGGGCCGCGACCAAAACAGGGAACTGATGGCCTGTCACCCGAGGAGGGTCCCCTTGAAGTGATGAGCGGTAAGCGCTCCTGTAGCTGCCGGGCCGCCCCACAGCCTAGCAGGAAGCTGGGAAGGTCTAGGGAAAGGGTCACGTTGGCAGCGTTTGGTCTCTTCTAGTCCTGGAGCTAGAGGAGCTTCTTCCACCTTCAAGCAGGTAGAAATGAATAGTGGCCGAAGGCGTGGGGCTGACTCAGAGACGCATGGGTTTCAGTCCAACTTTGCCTTTGATTAACGATGTAACCCTGGCCGTGCCCCCGGGCCTCTGCACCTCAGCTTCCTCACCTTTCAACAGGGGAAGGGAATAATATTGCCCACTTCCTAAGCGAGCTGTCCACGGGCCCCTGGCGCAGATAGGCACCCCGTGAGTGTCCGCCGTCCTCAGCATCGTGAATATCTGCGGAATCCTTCTTTGTCTGCCTTCTCCTTCAGGCCGAATTCTCGGAGTTGAACCTCGCTGCCTATGTGACTGGGGGCTGTATGGTGGACATGCAGGTCGTGAGAAACGGGACCAAGGTGGTGAGGTAAGGACTGAGGTGCAGGACACCCTCCCCCGAGAAAGGTGCGTGTGGGATCCCCCGAGCCGGCCCCAGGACCTTAGCCCGGGCTGGGGCTGCGGGTGCGCGCAGAGGGCCCGCTGCGGGGCCCGGGCGGGGCTGCGGTGCAGACCGTGCGGGAGTTAGCGGGCGCTGGCCTGTGGCTCCGCTTGGGGTATCCCTT